AAAAAAAAAAAAAAAAAAAAAGTGTTGTTCTCTGCGACGCGAAGATGAATGCGCGTCGGAGGAGCCGGGCGCGGTGGACCTGCAGGCTCAATTTTCTCGTTTCTCGTTTCGAATGCACACAATCAGGCAAAGCCAGCGTCCATCACATGCATGGCGGTGCTTTCTCACACTTCTCGTCCCCAGCGACATAAGTACTGCAGCCTGTTGCCTGGGCGGATCTCTTCTCAGCTGTATCTTCCATCGGAGTTGGGCATCGTCTGGAATAAAGCGCTCAGCACGACTCGCGAGGAGTTTGGCGAAGCGTCGACCATCCTTCGTATCGCCGACGCGCGCTACGTGTAGGCCTGCTCGCCTAAACGGCGTGCCGGGCCACGATCGAATTTCTTCATTCACTCTTGCCGGCATAAGCGATGCACACCTGGGCGACCAGATGAGTCCCTGCTTGCCGAGCCGACTGCACTCGTGAACAGCGGCGCCTTCGGCTCCACGACGATAGCAGGTCTGTGTCGGCCCGTTGCAGGCACGGTTGCTATCGGGGAGTGCCCCACTTGACCGAGTTGGTCACTGCGCAGTACAATGATGATAGTCCACGCGGACGCGGGAATCGATTTGGCCATGCATCATGCGGGCTCCTCTTTGCACCTCTATGAGAGCCGCCATGACGCATCGCAGCCGAGATGTCGGCGCGTCCCTGCCGCGCTATTGCAAGCATCCGCAAGCACCTGCAGTGCCGCACCGCGTCGTCCAAGCGAGGACGCAACGGCATTCTCAGAGGTGCGGGCGCTGCAAGCGAGACAGCAGGACGACGATCCTCGCTCGTTCGAGCTCTCCTCCAACGCGCGACCGGGACGCACTCCGCCTTGCGTTGCTTTCGGAGCTTCTGGGAGGCCTTACCCTGGCCCCGTGTGCCCGTGGTTGGCGCCGATGGATCACCGTCGATAGGCATGTGTGCGAACCCATGCGAACCGAAGTTCCGTAGGTCCTGCCTCCCCACGCACCCGAAATGGATCGCCTCGCCAAAAAGAAGCATTTGTTTGCACCGCCCTTGGTTGACAGGTGCAAAAGTGAGACAACCAACGCCCTCTGTCCCTTCCAAGCGACCAACAAACAAATCCCTTCTTTCGTCCCTCGGCTCTCCTGGCTCCGCCCGCGCGTGCCTCGGACTTACTCGTCGAGCGCAGAGCTTTCCCATCCTGCCTCGCCAGAATCAATTGCCCTTCCTCGGTTTCCGCGCCTCGCTCGTCGCGCGTGGACCCGCCTCGACCCGCCCTCGCGCCCGCTAAATCAAATCGCCTACACTAAAGGATCCGTGTCTTGCACGGGCGCAATCAGCACACCTTCGACTCGACTCTCAAACGGCTTGGCCCCTCGCTATTCCGCGGCCATCGGATCGGATCATCTCTCGATTCTAAGAATCTTCTCTACGCGACACAGGGGGAAAGGGTCTAATTGGCGGATCCACGGCCGATGGCCTTCATCTCTGTGCCGATGTTGGCGAGCTTCGGCAGCGGTTCCGCGTCCGCCTGCGACGGGGCAGGCAGGAAGCCAACCGCCAGCAGCCAGGCGAGGTAGGTTCCGACAAGCGAGCGGTCGACGCCCATGACCGTACCTTGGGCCTTGCCCTCGGAGGCAGCATCCAGGATCGCCTGCGTGTGGCGGTCGTCCAGCTCAGGCGACTTGGTCGACGTCGGCAAGTCGTCCAGCACAAAGTGCAGCAGCGGGAACAGCGCATTGTCCTCGACCGAACCCGAGCCCGTGCTGAGCACGTGCTCCTCGAGCCTCGCGCGCCAGTGCACGTATTCGGTCTTTTCCACCTTCCAGCCGTAGCGGCTGAGCTGGCCGAGCATGTCGTTGAATCGGATGCTTGGGTGATTGGTCACGTGGAAAACCTTGGCGTTGGTGCCAGGCGTCTTGTTAATCGTGTCGAGCTCCAGCGCGTTGTTGAGGCAAGCCAGCGTGGCGATCCTCGCCACATGGTCCACGGGCACCATGTTGATGGGGTTGTGCATATCGGGAACCAGGCCCAGCTGGATCGAGCCCTTGACGAGACGCCAGAGGAAGTCGTCCGTGTTGGTCACGGCCGTCGTGGAGTCGCCCACGACGTAGCCCGGTCGAACGATCGACGCCTTGAGTCCGCGCGACGCGGCGATCATGATGAGCTTCTCCGCCACCCACTTGGACTGACCGTAGCCCGTGGTGAGGCCGCGACTGTTGGCCTCGATATCGTCGGTCTCGGGCACACCGTGCAGCTGTTCCGCCGATCCCTTCTGCGCAGGGTCCTGACCGTGCACGATCGAGTCCGACAGTCGGATGTAGTGGTCGGTATCCAGCGCCGAGGTACTCGACACAAATGTGAGCGTCTTGGCCTTCTTGCCCGTGTTGCACAGCTTGATCGCACAGATGGTCGAGCCCACGTTGGCCGCACGCAGCTTGCTGTAGGGGTACACCCAGTGCACCAGCGCACCGTTGTGCAGGATGTCGTCCACCTCGTCTGCCAGCTTGGCGTACACCGCCTCCGACATACCCAGGCGCTGAGGGGCCGCCAGGTCACCAAGAACCACCTCGAGGCGTCCCTCGCTCACCCACTTGTCGTCCCAGATGCCTCGGCCCTTGCAGCCCTCGCGTAGACGCTCGAGCGCATTCGCCTCGTCCTTGGCTCGCACGTGCGCGTACACCTTGGCGACGCTCGACGCGCGCTTGGTCAGCAAGTCGTACAGGATAAAGGCGCCCAAGAAGCCAGTGACACCCGTCACCAGCACGGTGCGTGGTCCTGCCGCAGCGGTCTTGACCTTGTCGCCCGCAAAGGACTCGGGCAGGCTCGGCGTCAGCGTGGCCACGTCGGCGCCGTAGTTCTCGTCCAGGTTCGCCTCCTCGCTCGGCTTGGCCGAAGCCGCCGATCCGTTGGCCTGCGAAGCGCCAAGGCCAAGATCAGCCTGGCGCAGCTGGTCGACAGCCTTGGCGAGACCTCGCACAGTGGGAGCGTCAAAGACGACACCGAGAGGCACGTTGATGACAAACTGCTTGCGCATCTCGAACACCAGGCGCGTGGCCAGGATCGAGTGGCCTCCAAGGTCAAAGAAGCTCTCGTCGAGCGGGATTGGCGAGGGTGCGTTGGGCAGCAATCGCGACCATAGCTCCGTGACCGAGCGCTCGGTAGGTGTAGCAGCCGCCAGCGCAGCCGCAGCGTCCGCGCCGTTCTTGCCACCCGAAGAGCTGCCAGAGCCCACAGCGGCAACCATAGCAGTGTCGGGGAAGGGCAGCGCAGGCTTGTCGATCTTGCCGTTGGGGTTGAGCGGCATCTTGTGCAGCGGCACAAACAGCGTCGGCACCGAGTAAGCGGGCAGCTTTCGCTTGAGATGGTCGCGGATGTCCTTGATGAGTGTGCGGTAGCGGCGCATGCCCTTGACGAGCATGGCGTCGCGGGCGGCCTTGCCCCCTGCAGCCGCTGCACCTTCGTCGTCCTCGGTGACCTGCTCCTCGAATTCGGCCGCACCGGCACCAGGCACAAAGTAAGAGACGAGCACCTTCTCCTCGTCCTTGTCACGACGCACGAGAGTCACGTTCTCGCGCACGTGCGGGTGGCGTGAAAGGTGCGTGTCGATCTCGCCGAGCTCAATACGGAAGCCACGGATCTTGATCTGGTCGTCAGCACGGCCCGTGCACTCGACGGTGCCGTCGGCGAGGTAGCGTCCCAAGTCGCCCGTCTTGTACATGCGGTCACGGATGCCCTTCCAGAACTGGCCCTCGGGCTTGTCCTTGATGGTGTCGGCGAAGCTGAGGTTGGGAGCGAGGAAGTTGGGCATGAACTTTTCGGCCGTCACCTCGGGGGGTCCGAGGTAGCCCTCGGCCAGGCCACCGCTACGGACGTAGATCTCTCCGACTTCGCCGACGGCGCAGGTGGCGGTGCGCTCGTTGCGGTTGACGACGAGCAGCTGGACGTTGATCATGCCCTGGCCGGCGGGCATGATGTCCTTCTGCGTCTGCAGGAAGGTCGTCGAGGTGCTGACGGGAGGGATGGCAAAGTAGCTCACCGCACGCTGCGTCTCGGTGGTGCCGTACATGTTGATGATGCAGACGTTGGCGGCGAGTGCCTGCAGACGCGTGCAGTCGCGCTTGGTGAGCACGTCACCGACAAAGAAGGCGTTGCGAAGCGAAGGGATCAGCGCCGTCGCCTGCGCACTCAGCAGCTGGCCCATGGCGGGGGTGAGGTGCGTGACGGTCGCCTTGGTCGCCGCCATCCACTCGGCGAGACGGCCAGGCGTGCCGATGTCCTCGGACGTGGGGATGTGCAGCTCGGCGCCAAAGAAGAGCGGAGTGAAGATGTCGCGCTGGATAGGGTCGTGGGCGATACCGGAAAGCATGGTGAATCGCTCATGCGCTCCGAGGCCGAAGCGTTCGCCCATCCAGGGGAAGAAGTGGGTGAGCGAAAAGTGGCGTCCCTTGACACCCTTGGGGATGCCTGTGGACCCGGAGGTGAAGGAGAGCGTACCCACGCTGTCGGGGCCCAGCACGACGTTGGTACTCTCGCCGGCCAGCGCCTGCTGCTTCTCGAGCACATCGGCTCCGCCTTGCGACGCAGCGCCACCTCGAACGGAGCCGTCATCGAGCAGCTCGAGGGCCGGAACCTCGGTGCGCAGCTCAAGCTCTTCCTGAATGCACTTGCGCACCGAGGGCTGCAGGACGCCTGCCTTGGCCAGCACGATCAGGGCGCGAGGCTTGGCAACCTGGAGGTAGATGTTTTGACGCGAAGGCGGATAGGCCGGGTCGATCACGCTGAATGTCGCGCCGGCCTTGAGCGTACCGAGAACAGCGACGACGAGGTCGACACCACGATGAGCGTAGGTCGTAACGACCTCCTCCCGCTGCACACCTGCCTGGAGGAGATGGTGAGCGACCACGTTGGAGGCGCGGTCGAGCTGGCCGTAGGTGATTTCGCGCACACGGCTTGCCGGAGCAGAGGGCTCGGCGAGCGAACCCGGATCGTCCGCAAGCGACTCGACGATGCACCTGCGGTCCGGGTGCGCACGTGCGTTGCGCTCAAAGATCTGTGTGATGGCGCCGCGGAATCCGCACCACTCTAGGTCCTTGGTGGGGTCCGGCAGGAAGTCGTTCTCTTGCGGCGTGCGAATGGGCAGGCTGCCGACCGCGGCGGCTGGGTTGGAGGCAGCAACGGAGATGAGATGGGAGAGCTGGGCGAGGATGAGCTGCATGCGCTGCGAGGAGAAGAGCAGCGAGTTGTACGACAGGTGCACGGCGATGTTGGGCACCAACGAGTCGCGGAACGTGTGGGTTGCGGCGGCTGCCGAAGAAGGCGTGGCGGACTCCGCAGGGGTGGCAGCGGTGGTCGAGTCGTCGCCGGGTGTGGCGCCGGGCTTGGTGAGGAAGACGGTGAGGTCGGTGGTGAGCGAGGTCGACTGCATGAAGTTGCGAGCCTTGCCGCCTGTCTCGTCGAAGAAGCGGACGCGGAAGATGGGAGCGCTCTGCACACCTTCGGGCAAGGGGCCCTCTCGCTCGGCCCGCTCGGCCTCGACGCGCTTGACGATCTCGTCGTACGGCACGGCATCGGCGGCCGCCTCCTTCTCGACCTGCTGGATGCGACGGACGATCTGCCAGAAGGGGTCGTTGGGCTCGATAGGGATCCTGAGGATCAGAGGCTCGCCCGTGTATGGGTTGGACGAACCAATGACGAGGTCCGTGTCGCCAGTGTATCGGTGGAGGAGCACGCAGAACGCGGCGAGGAGCAGGTGGAACGGCGTCGGGCTCGCGTTGTCCTCATCATCATCCGCATGCTCGGCCGGATGCAGGTCCAGCTCGTGGTGGAGAGCGAGACGCACGAGATCCTTTCTTGTGGCCGAGGAGAGCGTCGAGGACGAGAGAGCCTGTACGAGCTGCGAGGTGGCAGGTCGTGGATAGTCGGTGGGCAGTGCGATGCTCGGAAGCGAGGTCAGCCGCGCCGACCATCGATCCAAGCTCGCCTGCAACGTTGAGGAAGACGCCATGGCTTGCAAAGACGATCGCTGACCAAAGAGCTGGTGCCTTTTGGTTTGGGGATCGAGCTTGATGGTGGGGAAGAGGGAATGCGTTGCCCAGGATCGACTTGCCGCTTTCTTCTTCTTCTTGGCTCTGTGCCGCTTTGGGCTCTCTCCTCTCCTTGCCTCTCGCCCGCGCTTCTCCAGTCGAGCTTCGGCATTTTGCCGTGACGCTGGCATGCTGCTGTCCTCCCACGGACCGCTCAAAGCGCCGAGTCACGTTCAAAACCCACTTTCGCTCAATAAGCCTGAGTCATCTGATTGCAACAAATTAGGCTCAGGTCGGCCTAACAAGGTTTCTTTCGCGCCTCCACCTGCCAACGGCCCTCGATGATGCCGATGGAGCCGATCCACGTGGGGATGCATCGGCCTGGGCTGTGTTTCAAGAGCCGGCAAGTGCCTGTCTCAGATGCTCCCGACAGGGTTGTGGTTCGGCAACACTGGTAGCGGCAGCAGGCTCGACAACCTTGTCGACATCTTTCCATCCGAGCCAAGCTTTATCGCCCCACGTCAGAACTTGCCGGTGGCACACGAGGTACTTTGTTGCTGCCCTTCCACCCATCCACTTCGACGGCCTTGAGCGATATGCTCGGCTGAGGTCCCAAAAATCACGATCAATTCCGGTCGCAAACGTCGACAGTAACGATGGTTTCCACATCCGACCCCGTGACTGTTGAGCCTGCCGCCGATGCCACGCAGAAAGCGCCTTCGGACGGCAAGGGTCCAACGGCTTCAATCGCGCCCTCGCCAGCGCGGTCATCCTCGGACGACTTCACGCGCATCGATGCGGCAGATCGCATCCGCTCCGTAATGCGAACTACACGCCTCGAGAAGACGCTCGAGGAACAGCGCCGCGGCGACAAGAACGACCCTGTCTCGCGATGGCAACGTGGAGGCGTCATGGCGGAACAGCTCGGCCAGCAAGATCATGCTCCTCCAGCAGCAGTCCGAGGCAAGGCTTCGTCGCCTCCCCCTCGACTGCATCATCGCACCTCGTCGTCTTCATCATCCTCGTCGCCGAACGTCAACTCGCTCTCCCGGCAGCTGATGAGCACAAGCTTCTTTGACAAGCTGCCTTTCACCTTCAAGAACGAGGCCGAGAAGGACGAGTTCATCCGCGAGTCCAAGACCCTCACCAAACGCATGGAGGACCAGAACTGGCTCGAGATGCTCGATCCCAAGCACAGATACGGCAGCAACCTCAAGCACTACCACCGCCACTGGAACCTCAAGGCCGACACGCGCCAAAACTTTTTGCATTGGCTCGACGAAGGCGAGGGAAAGGACCTCAGCCTCGAAGAGTGTCCGCGCTCCAAGCTCGAAGCAGAGCGCATCACCTACCTCACCCCAGACGAGCGACGCAACTACCTCACCTACGTCGACAACGACGTGCAGCTTCCATCCAACGGACATCTCCACGACATTCGTGCACACCTCAAGCAGGCTGGGAAAGGTCGTTTGCGCTGGTGCCGTACCGGCGAGCTCGTCAACACCTCCAAGTACGACCATGGCGATCTGGGCAAGGGACGCGGTGTTGCGCTTCGCCAGTCGCAGGAATGGCAGAATGCAATCGCGCGTGGAGAGGCGTGCGACGTGGTGCGTGACGACAAGATCAAATTCAGGCGAACGACATCCGCCAGTTCGTCGGATTCATTCACATCCGACTCGTCCTTGTCTGACGAGGACACGGCTGTGCAAGAGTCGACACCCAGGGATTCCACATCAGCGAGCTCCGAAACATCGTCAAACACAAAGGGTTCTGCCCATATCAGCTCTCCGAAACCAGCGCGTGACCCTGAGGAAAAGCAGCAGTCTCGCAAGGAAAAGCTGCTCGAAAAAGCCAATCTTGGCCCCAAGTATCTTCTCAAGCAGAAACTCGGCCTGTACACGTCTGCAGAACGTCAGCAAGTCGTCAAGGGCGACCAGGAAGATGGGTCCCACGGCGACGATGGCGAGCAGGACGCCCTCATCCGCAAACGCAAAGCCGACACGTGGATCTTTGTCACGGATCTCTCGTACAACATGTACATCGGCATCAAGCAGCGCGGCCGATTCCAGCACTCGTCGCTGCTGGCCGGATCGCTCGTCACCGTCGCAGGTGTGCTCAAGGTCAAGGACGGCGTGATCGTCTCGATCTATCCGTGGAGCGGCCACTACCGCTCATCTTCGCAGCATTTCGAAGAGTTTGTCAAGCGGCTCCAGGAACGCGGCCTCGACACCAGCCAGATCAACGTCACAAAGAGCAAGTGGGTCATCGAAGTCGTCAATAGGTACGGCATGTATCGCAAAAAGAAGGACCGCAAACTCAAGGATCTCAAGGACAGGGCTCGCGAGACGTGGGACGGCCACCGCTCGCCCACCTCAGGACGGACCGGGTAGGCAATTGCTTTCATATAGTTTCGCTGCTCTTTCAGCCCACGACGGCAAGGGCTCGCCCAAGCTGTTGCCGATACCCACTTGGCGAAATGAAGCCTTAGCCTCGAGTTCGAGTGCCTGATCTAGTCCGTGCTTATGCATCTGTAGCATCTCATCATTGGACGCCTTCGGACGCATGTGGGCAGCCATTGACCATGAGCCCGCACACTGTCTGCCCGCCAGTTAGATCGATGTCGTTTATGCCGCTCCGCATCTCTACACTTCGGACCCTGGCGACCCACCTCATCTTTCGGACGATGGCAGCGCGCTGGTTGCGTCGATGAAGCAGCACGGCAACTCCGTGTCTGCCTTCGCGAGGACCACAACTGGCTCCAACCCACAAGCCACTAATGAAGGCACGGCAGAGCACACTTGTCGTGCACGCTTCAATGCCCCACCGACCTGCTCGTGGATGGCGAGTCTATATTTAAAGGCACGCCCACTGCTCCTAAGCATGCCCCGCTCTGGCACCTCTTATCGACTCTTTTCTACGAGGCCGCAATTGCTCCGCTCCAATCCTCTCCCAACACCGTTCCGTCTGCTTGTCAGATATCGGTCCATCACATTCTTTTTCATCCTCCCAATCCTCCTCTTCCTACAAGCTACTGGTAAGGCATCTCTCCGACAAGTTGCTGATAGATTCGAATTGTGCTGACCGATCTCGCTTGCTTCATATCTTCAGGCTAGCAACAACTCTAGGTCTGACGATACGATGAAGGTTGCGCTTCTCTCTGCCATCGTCTTTGGCGCCATCTCGGTTGCTGCCACGACCTCCGGTGCGATCGACCCGAACTACGAGGTGCAGCAGCACCGCCGCGCTCGCTCGAACAATGCTGGCGCCAAGAAGGAAAGCCACCAAAAGCGAGACACCGCCGCACACCCTGGCGTTCCGAGCGAGCACGTCCTGTCGCGCCGTGGTGAGACGTCCGGTATGCTCGGTCTGGCCGAGGGAGCCGCCGACCTGCTGAGGGGTGGTCGTGGAGATGCCCAAAAGGCCGGCGACACCATCGTGCACAACCACCTCACTCCCCCTCCGGCCTACCATCCTCCTCCCGCTTATGGCGCTGCGGCCTACGGCCACGCTCAGGGCGCTGCGGACCCTATGCTCGCTCAGAAGCTCGAGAAGATCGACAAGCACATCAACAAGATCAAGCAGAGCAACGCGCACACTGCCGAGCAGGTGGCTGTCATGCAGGAGATCCAAGCCAAGCAGATCATGTCTGCCAAAGAAGCTCAGGCTGCAGCTGCACAGGGCGCTGGCAAGAAGCGCGGCATTGGCAAGGGATGGCTCTTTGGCGCTGCAGCTGGCGGTATCGGCCTTGGATACGTCGGCACCAAGATGTTCGACACCAAGCCGGCCGATACCACCACCGGCTACAGCCCGGAGGAGATGCAGGCGCTCCAGGCTGCCGGTGGTGCTGCTCCTGGTACCATCCCGGTCGATGGTTCGGCCGGAGCGGCCGGCGCGGGCGCCATGCCGCCTATGACGGGTGGTGGTGCCGAGTACTCGGCCCCTCCAGCTGGTGCCGGTGCTGGTGCTGGCGCTGTCCAGCAGGCTGCTGCTCCTCCCAGCCAGGCCGCTGCACAGGGCGGCACCAAGCCCATCTACGATCCCGAGGTGCAGATGTACTACGTCATGGGTCCGGGCGCTGGCCAGCAGCAGATTAGGTACTACATCGACCCCAGCACCGGCTACCTCATCAACTCGGTCACCTTTGATGTCAGCGACCCCAAGACCGGCCAGATCGTCCAGCGCGGTAGCGATGCTGGTGCCGGTGGTGGTGCTGGTGCTGG